GGAATAAGACTGTGCGCTTAGTGAACGTTTTGTGGAGAAATCACTCAGTGGAGGAAGCTACCTGGGAGACCGAGGATCGCATGAAGAAAATGTATCCACGCTTATTTTATGGTTATTAGTGGTTTGTATGTTAATGTGTGAAATTTCGAGGACGAAATTTTCTTAAAGGGGTAGGTTGTGACAGCCCTTCCTGAATGTATATATTATTTTATCTTCGAGAGCGTGGAGATTACTTTTATGCCCTTTAATCGTTGAGTTGTGTTGTGTGGTTTAAGCTTTGGATTTGGACCAATCCTTTTATTTTCCTAAGCATTTGGAACTTAAGACATTTGTTAGTTTTGTTTGGTGACAAAACCTGGACCACACACTCACACTTTCACACTCTCCCATTGACTTTCTCTCCTTCCCTCTCAGATTTTTTGTCGTTTCCGTACAACCGTACAGACAACTTTGAACCTAACTCACTAATCACAGATTGGGGTTTTGGTAGTTGTTTTCATACTCCATGCAAGCTCAGGAGTAGAGCCATACCCTTTGTACGGGAAAAAGACATCGGGATTGTGAGAACTATCGAACTCCGGTGAGGTGTCCTGTTTTCCCGATGTGATCGTCGAGGTTTTCTTTGGTTCTAAGACTCAAAAAGGTATTTACTCTATTTCTTTAGTGATTTGGAGTAGTTTTGGTTAAATTTGGTCATCGGGATAAGCTCATTAGTGGGATTACAGGTTTAACAGGAATTTCGAGGGATTTTCCGACTACTTCTCGTCGAAGTTAGGACTCCAAAGTGGTAAGATCTTGTTCTACTCGTTGAAACCTTCATTTTGGTGAAAATTTTAAGGATTTTGGTTGAAAAATGAGTGAGATATGAAGCTTTAAAGTTTTTCCAGAAATCGGCGATCACCATGGCGCCGGCGAACCAAGAAATAAGAAGGAGAATACTCCGTCAACTTTTTTGGAATATTCCTAACGGCGATTAACGGCGTTAGGTATATTTAATGGTATATTCCATTAATTAACAAAATATTTCCTAACGCCGTTAGGGATTACATTTGGTGTGCCAGGCATGTACCTGCGCGTGGCGGCGCGTATGGCCGTGCCTTGGCCGGCACGTGATGGCACGTGAGTGATCAGAAAATTTTTCTTAAAATATGGGGATATTCCTGAGGTTGAGTAGGCCTCGGTGGTATATTCAAACACCCCAATTGAGCAATGTATGAGAAGTTATTACCTAGTTTTGTTTATGCGCTCAAAAATAATGTTTAAATAGTTGTTTCACATATAGCTGAGACCTATCCTGAGGACGAGCGCAGTCAAGCAAGGCTCGGGGGTTACGACCTTTCCACATATTTGTGAGAGGACTTTTAGTTTTCAATACACACACACACACACACACACACACTTGGTATTTTTCCCAGAAAACTTAATTAAATGGTTTGATATTTTGAAATGCCATGTTAAGTGCTCTCTATGTTTAATTGTGCATTAGTATGGTTATATATATTGTTGCTTGATGCTGCGGACACTCAGGTAAGCTTCAGGTGAGTATATTGATGATAGTGATGGTAGTAAGTATAATAGTGCTGAGATATATTTCGATCTTATTATCCTGCACCTCGGTGTTAGTACTCCGCCCGAGGAAGGGCATAGCCTTCACGTGATCGTTCACCTCCTGCACCACATGCTCACCTTGGATCCAAGGCAGGTGCCAGCCTATCGTACAGACCACTTTAGGTGGTTCCGACTCGTAGATGACTTGCGATACTTCGCACAGCCTTCATGTGACCGTAGCATTTGAGCGTATTTATTTACACCCAGCCTGTCATACATACCATTTTAGGTGGTTCCGACTTGTGTGCGGAGAACTAGTTGATAAGTTCTAGATCCAGCCGTACATGTCATATTAGGTGACTCTGACTGACGTACCATCTCATATTGATTTTTTTCACCTGACTTACTTAATTCCTTGCTGAGATATTTGACATGGCATGATTATGGATTTGCTATCTTAAACATGGTTTTGAGATATATTTATATGCATGATATTCTTCTGGGAATTATATAGGTTTTACGGCGAGGGGTTATTTACTTTTGATAATGAACGGTTTTGAAAAACTTTGTTTTTGCCCACTCACACCTTCTGTTTTTTGCCCCTCCAGGTTCTAGTTAGGAGTGCTTGTTGGTGGCTTACGAGGAATTCAAGGCAGCTTTGACAGATTATCACAAATGTAGGACCACCCTTGGTATTGTATAATTAGTATTCGTCCTGTTGGACTGCACGTAGGCTACTTATGCTCTGATTATGTGTAATTATACCTAAACACCATATTTGCACTTAGGTTTCCTTAGTGTAAATTAGTTAGCTTGGTTTTTATTCATTCACCTTTCTTTACATCCTTATCATTTCCACACTGTGCACATAGCTACGTCACCCTCACGTGACGGCCAACATGCCTCGATTTCGGATTTGTAGCCAATCCCGTTCGTGTTACAATTTTTTCTCACAAAACATTGGTTGGGCTGCAAGTCCAATTTAATTGTAAGTAACTCATCCTGTCTTGCCCACCAAACGGGGCCTTAAAGTGCATTTCCCATATTTAACTCAATTTGTTAATCATTTAAATTTTGTTCGATATTAGTTTATGTTGCTTAATGTTATTGATATGGTTTATTATATCGCATGGTCTACATAGAGAATTAGTGTGGATATATCCACGTTAAAGTTAGACAATCGCTAATCTTGAAATTTAAGTTGTCAGAAAATAAGCAATAACGCATATCAAGTTTACATTTTTTCATAATACATATATATAGAGATGGGTACATAGAGAAATATATAGGTGCATTCTTGCTCAGCAATTTTTTTTTTTGAACAAACGATATTTATCTATGCTAAGAGAGTGCGGAAGTAGGCTAAGCCTCACAATAAGCTATCAATAATGTTGTTCAAATTCAACTTTGGCGAGAATCGAATCTAAGACCTCTCATTTACAAAGAAACAAAGAAACATAATATGAAAGTTTAATCGGCTAACCCAAGAGTTAAAACATTAGTGAATAAACCGACAATGTATATGAACTTATGAAGCCTTAAACGCGCGTGTGCACACATTATGCAGAAATCTTCAAGGCTTCAACGTACATTAACTTTACAGGAAAGGTCTCCAGCCTGCATTGTCCTACATGTATTGGTTTGTGCCATCAGTAGTCCTGTGTAGATATTTTCTCCTTGTTGCATGGGCCACCGTCGGGCATGGATAGTGGTGAGGTGAGAGAGATGAGCATCACACATGCACAGTCGCCCTCTACGCGGCCGGGGACCAAACCCATTTCCTGTGAGGTCACCTTTGTACTTGGTCTTTTAATACATCTCACGCGCTGGCCCCAAAGATTGGTGATGCATATGATATAATGTACCAGTTGAGACTTTTCAGATTGGATGAGTTTCACGTCAAAATCATAACTAAATCGATTATACAGTGTTAAATTTTTGATTCGGTTTGATTTTGACTAAGGTTTTTAAGAAAACCAAACCGAACCAAACTAAATTAATGTTGAACGGTTTTGTTCTAGTGGATTAGGTCTAAACTCAATTATTTCTTCAGTTTCATTTTTTCAGCATTTTAGAGGAATTACAACAATTAAAATATGACGAAATTGTAGCAATGGTCCCTCAACTTTAATCCAATTAGAGTAATAGTGCCTCAACTAAAAATTCATATCTAGTATTCCCTTAACTCATTAAAACGTGTAGTTATGATCATTTTTGTCAACTTTGTTAGAATTTTCGTCAAAATATCACGTGCCACACACATGAGGTTGTATCAAGGGGCAAACATGGAAAACCAAATGAAAAAATTGTAGCAATGGTCCCTCAACTTTAACCTAGTTGGAGCAATTGTCCCTCTACTTTAACCCAATTGTAGCAATAATCCTTCCAACATGAGTTATTTTGATGGAATTCTGACGGAGTTGATGAAAAGGACTATAGATGCACGTTTTGATGAGTTAAAGGACCGATGATTATGAATTTTTAGTTGAGGAACCATTGCTCAAATTAGGTTAAAATTGATGAACCATTGCTACAATTTTCTCTTAAAATATCATTATTTGTTGCCTATATTTTCATTTTTAGTACACCAAATTCATGGTACATGTCATTAAAATTCAAAATTTATGGGCAATTTGATAACAATTTTGTTTTCATTTTTAGTTTTTAATTTTTTTAATTGATAATTGAAAACTTGTTTGATAACTAAAATATAAATACTGAAAACAAAGGTTATCAAAACGCCTCTTAGTAATAAATATAGTTACAACTCAAAAATCAACAACTTCAATATTTCATCAATCATCAGATTCAACATCCTTACCTAGTTATTAGCCAATAAGAAATTACTTGTGTAAAGTAATACATATAAATAATAATAAGAAATTGATTTTCAAACACCATTTTTCGTCACGCCTATCTTTATTTATGGTTATTAAACTAAAACAATGAGAATGATTAAACCAAGATGTATAAAATCATTTTTATACTATTGTTAGTGGTCGGTTTAGATTAGTTTTTACTTTTCACAAATGAATTCATTACGATTCTACATAATTTTAAACCATAACTTTTTTTTTTTGGTTAAAACAAAACCAAAATAAACACAATTTACTCAAAAACTAAGTTGCGTGTAACATTTTCATGTATAGAAAATTTTATGTGCCACCGTCATTTATCACTAACTTGCGCGTTGGATAGACTTCCTCACAAACCCAACCTCAAAGAGTTCATACATATCCAAAATTAAAGAAAATCCCAGGAAAATAATAAATAAAAAATCGGTATTATCCAAAGAAAAAGTGCTTTTTCTGTAAGTTTTTGTTTGCTTCTCAAACTCTATCCCATGAATGGTCCAACAAGGGAAAGGAAGCAAAAGCAAAGCAAAGGACCCACTTCCACTTGTGCCACACACAGAGTAGTGCTTTTGAACAGAGAAAGATAAACGGCTTTTCTCAGAGGAAGAGGGAGAGGAGGAGAGAGAGAGTGAACTACATCCTAGAGAAATGCATTCAGATAAGGACTTGTGCTAGACCCAGTAGTAAATACCCCTCTCTCTATCTCACTCACCAAATGACCTCCTTCCTGCATTTCCCAAAAAACAGTTCGATCTTTAATGCCCCTTCAAAAATCTCTCTCTCTCTCTCTCTATCTCTTTCTCCCCTACACAATTCAAACTTCTTCAACAAAATCTGACCTCTCAACCTCTTTGAAAAAAATGCCACTTTGACTCTCTCTCTCTCTCCGTGTCTTTTTGACTTGGGTTATCTTTTCATTTGCATTCTCCACTTTGAGGTGCCAAAACAAAAACTGGGTTTGTGCTTAAACACTGGCATTGACTCAAAGTTGTGGCCTTTTTAAAATATAAGTTTCTGAAGAGTGGTTTTTGGAATTATTGGAGTTTGAAAGATTAGAGCTTAGGATTGGATGCATATGGTTATGGGGTTGCCTTTGAAGATGCTTGGTGTCTAAGGCTTTATAATGAGTTGGTGACAGTGGACCTGTTTCCTTCCAGTCTCTCTTGCTCTTTCCCTTAAGCATGAAGCCTTTTTGTTGTTTCCCTTGGTTTGGTAAGCTGTAAAAGTAGCTTCCATCTTTGTCTTTTCTCAAACTTAATTATTATTTGCCTTTGAATTCTGAACTTTCTTTTCTCTCTTGCTTTCTTGGTTGCTATAAGTTTTGTGGCTTTTGCTCTAATTTTAGTTACAATTTTATATAAATATCATAGCTTTTGTTTTGTTTACGAAATTCTAGGAAGTTGGTTTTCTTCTTCTTTTGTTATGGTTTTTAAATTCCAAATCTAGTTTAGATGCTTCATCTGTGAAATTCGATACCAATTTATTGGTTTTGTTATGCTCAAATCCTGAAAAGATGTTAAATGTTGCATTTTTTGTAACCAATGTATATCTTGTAGTAATTCAGTGTTAATATTCGGCATTCAAATTTTCGATACCTTGAAGAAACATTGTCTAGTATGTGCAAATTGGGTTCACATTCTGCTGAATTTTGTGTTTCTGTAGAGCTTGTCCTAGAACTGAATAGTGAGTATTAGAGCAGGAGGGGGCATTTTGCATTGAGTTGCAAAGTTGGGGCTTCAAAATTGCCTTTGAAAGATAACCGAAATAAATGCATGGATCGTAGGGACCCTATGGCATTGTCGGGGTCAGCCTCTTACTTTACATCTAGAGGAATAACTGGGTCCGGAACACTGTCTGGATTACATGGATCGCCAGGCATTCATCCCTTATCTAATCCAAATATAGCATTTCAATCTAATATTGGAGGAACTAACATTGGGTCAACATTGCCGGTAGAGCCTTCTTCAGCTATTTCATACCATGGTGTCAATGTGGGTGCACCAACTGTGGCACCACCAGGCGAATCTTTGAAAAGGAAAAGAGGAAGGCCTCGAAAATATGGACCTGATGGGACTGTTTCATTGGCATTGTCTCCTGCAGCATCTGCTAATCCTGGTACGGTATCATCAAGCCCAAAACGAGGTAGAGGGCGGCCACCAGGGTCTGGGAAGAAGCAACAATTAGCATCTCTTGGTAAAATTTATTTTCTGTATTGCCATATCTTGTTGAAGAAATTATTTATTTTATGTTGTTGATTCGTTTAAGTGAAAAGAAACCTCAGAAAAGTTTGCTGAGTTAGAGTAGCCTAAATATTGTAATGCATCTTTTTACATTGTCACATAATCTGCTTTTAAAAGTTCACAATCTATGACTATCTGGGATTAGTTGCGTTCTGAAATCCTTGCCTATAACTCAAATGCTTGTATGATTGTATCAGAAGTAAATATACTGACATTCCCACCACTTTCATGTAAACTGTCTCAAAACTATTGCAACATATGGCAGACATGATGATTCTAACGGCAAAACAGAATTTTGGTAATTTTTGATGCATTTGGTACATACGCAAGGGCATTAAAATGTGGAATTATACCGGCTGATTTTAAACATAAATGTAGCAAAGCAGCCACATTTTTAATAAGTTGATTCGTATTACATAGATGGTTTAAATATATGCTTCTTGCCCTGCATTGAAACTTTTTGTTATGAGAATGATGTTGCAAATGGTTGATTGTTTTGCTAGGCGGATTGCTGTCTGGTTCGGCTGGGATAGGTTTTACTCCACATATTATCAGCATTGCAGTGGGAGAAGTATGCCCTAATATCTCACCAAACATATATATATTTATTCACATATGCATGAATCTTCAATTCTTTTTCCATTAAGAGTACGGTTAGCAAGATATGGTGTCATGGATTCTGATTAGGTCTGCAACCGAATTGAGTGGTCCTGAATCCCGAGCTTGATGAGGCCTGATTCATGAGTCATGTGTTGGCTTAATTATGTAGACATAATACCTCTAGATTATTACGTATAAGTAATTGTGTAGATGGATAGTATTTACCCAAATTAGCCATACTTGTGAGTCTGCCTGAGTTTGGTAGGTTCAGAGTAGCCATTTTTATGTGGTTGGCTTCAATATAGCCTATGACAAGCAAAGTTTCAAAAGAGTTCTGAACTACCAAAGTACTATGACGATCATTACTTGTACGAAATTAATTCTAAATCTGATGGGAAAAAGGGATAAAAATTAAGGTTCATCATTTTCGCTGGTGTGATTGTTATTTTTTTATTACTACTATCAATTGAATTCTTGCATTACTCAAATGAGAGAAGTTCCTTTAGGCCTTGAATCCTTTTTATCTTTTCTTGCAGGACGTTGCAACAAAAATAATGGCGTTTTCACAGCAAGGGCCAAGAGCTGTGTGCATCTTGTCAGCTAATGGTGCCGTCTCTACTGTGACACTTCGTCAGCCCTCAACTTCTGGGGGTACAGTCACATATGAGGTATGAACACTTTGTGATATGCCAATTCTTGCAAAGTTATGAGCTGTCTAGTAGATGAGTAATAAGACTTTTGATCTTTCTGAAGGTTCTAGAATCACTAAGGTTTAAATGTTCTTGTATATTTGGAGTGAGTAATGTTTGTAGCTATGAGGAATGAGGATATGCCTGAAAACTGAGCCCAGTTAGTATCATCGACTTCGGAGCCATCTCATGAATGGTTGGTTGATGCTTGGCGTTTATCCGAGGCAAATGCGAAGGCCATTCGTATATATGTTAGCCATCGTAAAATTCAGCTTAGAAAATATAGGTTGCAGAAAAAATCAACGTGTGTTGTGTTTGTGGTAATTTTTGTCCAGAAATTCTACACACAGACTTTTGTGTGCTTGTATGCATACCATACACAGCGTGACACACATTTTATGTATGTTGCTCTACATATTATCCTTCTGTTTTCTTTTTAGTTAAAATGTTTGACTGTTCTTTCTTCTTTGAAACTTCTTTTTTCTTTTTTACTGATAATAATAAACAGTTTTTTTTCTTGTGGATTGCGACTTCTTTAGGGACGGTTTGAGATTATATGTCTCTCAGGTTCTTACTTGCTCAATGAAATTGGTAGCTCCCGAAACAGAAGTGGCGGTCTGAGCGTCTCCCTTGCTAGTCCTGATGGTCGTGTCATTGGTGGTGGAGTAGGAGGGATGCTTATTGCAGCAACCCCTGTTCAGGTAGTAACTTGTTCATTGCTTTTGCTTTCGGTTCTTGTGTTTGCTCAGTAAATCTTTTTCATCCCTATCAATTGGTAGTTAATATTGTCAACGGGAAAAGAATTTTATGGGGTTAGTGCTGTTTTCTTTACAAGTATTGTTACTATGACATGACCGTAAATGGTCTTCAGATAGAGTAGTGACTTCACCAGAACAGGAACATGCCAGCATAATTTTTAGCTATTACTACTGCCACAAAAAACATCACGTTGGTCGTCTGAACAATAGGAGTAGACATAAATAGACGAGAAAATGTCTTATAAGAGTTACCATTTTTCTTCCTTCGCCTCCTTTGTTAAATTTGAGGCTGAAACACATGGTGAATGATTCCAGGTGATATTAGGTAGCTTCACATGGGGTGGTTTGAAGACAAAGAACAAGAAAAAGGAAGCTGTAGAAGGTGTCACAGACTTGGAACATGAGACGGTTGACAATTCAGTTGCACTAAACAGCATTCAACCAGATCAAAGTCTTAGCCAAAGTGCTTCATTGGCCGCGTGGCAGGCATCACAGCCACTGGATATGCATAACAGTCATGTTGACATTGATTTGATGCGAGGGTAACTATTTCGTTTACATGTTCATTGTGTGTAAATTTCAGTTTCATTGCTAGTTACATTTATTTTTCTTTGAAGCATCGATGACGGAAAACAGAAGCCAGATGATTGTGGGCTTCGATGATTCTAACTTCATTTATCCATGATAGACATTGGGAATGTACTATATTTATTTAGTTTAATCAAAATTTAGTTTGAAATTGAGCATTCATCCCATTCGTAGTTTCGATTATTTCAATTCACTTTCATCTGTAGGTATAGTAACTTTTATTCTTTGACGATATAAAAACAAGATTCAGATCGAAGTTTCTTTCCTGCATTGGCATACGTGCTTGTAAATTAGGATCACACATTCTTGATCAACAGAGTGTTTATGCTTCATGTAGTGAAGGAACGTTTACATTGATCTACGTTGATCTTCTCATTTCCGTAACTAAAGTTTACTTTTCTGATTCAATCAGGATGAACAATGATTAAATTTCTTGAGTTTGACATGTTACGTTGATAGACCTTTTCTTCTGTGTTGTTTTTCATTCCCTCTATTCACCTTTCTACCTTTTCATGTGTTTTCTAAAATTTTGGCCACCGACGGAGAAAAGATGAAACCACTTTTTCCCAACATTGGTTATGCTTTTTGCCGATCTAAGAAAACAGACAGGAACAGGTTGAAAAACAGAAACACGTGCACCACAGACATAAGACAGAACAGAAGAAATAGATAAGAACAAATGAACCTAGGTAGACAGCTACAAAAAGTAACTAAGCATCGGAGTCTCGGACCATGTGATATCTAAGCCACCCTATTGTTTCTGAGCAACGCCCAATGCTTTCCAAACAACCTTTGAGGCGTCAACAATGTTGTTAGCACACGGTGGTTGGTAGTCATGATCGAAGTCAGATATCCCGCAGTCGGGTCACACTCATCCACAACCATGGCCACCACACTGCGCTGGTTACCGCTAATGGTGATGTTGTGAAGGCACCTTCCTCCATTGTTCGACCATCCAGTTGGCAATGCCGCAACCGTTTGTTGTCGTTTACTTGTGCTCGTGTGGGAAGCGTTTGATTTATCAAAGCATTTGAGGGTTGTATATCTATATATACAAGTCCATGTTTCGTACTTTCCCGTAAACAAGATAAGGTAGTACACGATTTGGTATGTTCACAAAACCAGAAGTCATTGCTATATATTGACGTCTATAATATACATAACATTTTACACAACACATTACACACAGATAGACATAATGCAACAAGCTAGCTAGCTAGACACATCAAACTAATTTAACTAAGCATCGGACCATGTAATATCTAATCCTCCCCAGTTGTCCTTGGGTACACCCAAGGCTTTCCAGACAGCTTTTGAGGCGTCAACGATGTTGTTTGGACAAGGAGGTTGGTAGTCATGATCTGCATCACATTCCTCAGTAGAGTCACACTCATCCACCACCATAGCCACCACACTGCGCCCGTTACCACTAATGGTGATGTTACGGCACCTTCCTCCATGGTTGTACCATCCAGTCGACAATGCAACAACTGGTGTGTTATCATTGTGGTACTTGTTGTCACATTCTGATGAACCGCCTCCATCACCATTTTTCTCGAAACTGTTAAGAGTGAGGTAGGCCTTGGTTCTGCCGGACAGTGGTGGTGAACATGTGTAGGTTGTGTACATTTTTCCGGCCTTACAGCAATCAGAGTCATTCTCCTGGTTGCATTAATGTCCAGGAGGGGCCTTCCTTCCTCTAATTCTGCCGCTTGGACGACATTGTTGAGCTTCAGTGAGCAAGCAAATTGCTGAAAGGAGAACGACTAGTAGAACAATGGACCCTTTTGAGAGAATCGCTAACTTCATTTTCTTTCTGTTTCTCTCTCTCTCTAGAGTTGTTGTGTGGGATATGGTTGATGCATAACAGCGTTTGAGGGTAGCATATATAGCAATTCCCTATTACCAAAATAACAATCAAACTTCAACATATGATTTGCTACGCTGTTATGTATTAGACTCCAAAAACGTAACGGAATCATTTTAAGCATCAAAATCTTAATTAATTAGAGCTAAAACAAATCTTTGAACCCATTTACTGCTATGACTATAATAGTGTTTAATTGTTTGGACTATTCTTCACATAATGATGACTGTTAATATGGTTCCGAACAATATTGTAATAAGAGTTGATATTGTCTGGTAGTGATTGTCACACTCCCACATTTTCTTTTCTGCAATCCTTGTTTTAGTCACTTGACTCTCTTTGATTTATTCAATCCAAAGATTAGAAGGAACAAAAAAAAAAAAAAAGGGAGGAGTACACTGAGAAAAGGGGAACGCAAGATCACTTCACGTATTTACGAAGAGAAATGAAAATTACAATCTTAGTTGTTTGTTCAGGTTTGCCATTGTTCAGAGGATGAAGCTCCAGTTTTTTGCAAGGCTTCATGAACTGTCAAACATAATTTGCTGAAAACCTCACTTTTCATGGCGTGAAACCTCACTTTTATTTTAGGACATAAAGCCAAGTTATTCGTGTACAATCATCTAGGGGTGGGCATGGGTCGGGTTGGGCCTAAATTTGGAGGAACGGGACCGGATCCATTTTAAATTGCAACGGGGCGGGCCGGGTTGGATAATGAAAATTTTAAATTTGGAACCGGACCTAACTTAGCCCGTTTGAAACGGGCCGATTCGGATCGGGTCCACGGGTCCAATAACATATATATTTTTTCTTATAAGGCCATGCAAGGTCCCTTCCCCATCAATGTGTGATTCATTCTCAACACGTCATCTCACGTGTGGTGAATTTCAAGCCTTCCATGTGAACAACACAATGGGGTGTCGTGGAGCATGTGTGGCCATTTGGCTTGACACGTGAGGCAATCTACTCTGATATCATGAAGAAATGAGTTTCCACCATAAAAACCAATTGGCAATATGGGGAGTACCCCAACCTCTTATAAGTTCTTCTAAGGTATCTCCCTTCACCAATGTGAAACTCTTTTACCATCACATTCTCACATTTTTTAACCTCTTGTAATAAGAAGGCAAGTATGCCTTGACATGAAAGAAAGAAAAACCAAAAAGAACAGCTGCTTGAAGGTATGATATAAGACCTAGATAACGAACTAAAACAAAACAGAAGTCGAGTGATATGTATATGATTATTTAATATTACTTTATAATTTACAATAGACAAAGTATAAGAAAAACAGTTTAAATATATTGACTTCTTGAATAGTATAGTACTTGTAACATATTATAGAACACAATCCACAACAGCCATACACGCAATGCAACAAGCAAGACGGAAATTAATTAATGTAACTAAGCTTCGGACCAAGTGATATCCAGGCCGCCCCATTGGTCTTCAGGCACACCCAAGGCCTTCCAAACAGCTTTTGAGGCATCAACAATGTTGTTAGGACAAGGAGGTTGGTAATCATGATCTGCATCACATCCTTCAGTGGAGTCACATTCATCCACCACCATGGCCAACACGCTACGTCCGTTACCATTAATTCTGATTTGTTTATGGCACCTATCTCCGTTGCTATACCATCCAGTGGACAGTGCCACAACTGGTGTGTTGTCATTGTGGTATTGATTGTCACATTCTGATGGACCGCCACCATCTCCACCTTTCTCGAAACTGTTAATGGTGAGGGTGGCCTTGGTGCTTCCAGACAATGGCGGTGAACATGTGTAGGTTGGGTACATTTTGCCCGGCTTACAACAATCAGAATCATTTTCCTGGTTGCATTGTCCAGGCGGAGCCTTCCTTCCTCTGATTTTGCCGCTTGGACGACATTGTTGAGCTTCAGCGACCAAGCATATTGCCGAAAGAAGAATTACTAGTAGGACAATGGACGATTTGGAAATGAAACTCTTCATTTTCTCTGTTCTCTCTATCTCTCTAGTTGTGCTCTTGTGATGAATATGCTTGGTTTGATGCATAAAAGAAATTGTGGGTGGGTATATATAGGAACTTTCGAACCATATTATCCTTGGATGTTTGCTGAATATTGACAAAATTACATTCTGACACTAAAGAAAGCTAATTAGTTTCTTTACAACTTGGTTTTGCCAGGACGCAACACTTTTCAAATTCAATATAGTATAATATATATATACACACTCCATCAACATAACGGCAACGTAAAAATAATTTTGGAGGAACATACTAAAGTATTCAAAGTTTCCAAATCCTGTTTAATTATGTGCATTTTCTAAAAAATAAAAGTTTTAGGGTTAAATTTCAGAATTCTTTGTTAATCTCACAAGACTCACATGCACTAGGAATACTTTAATTCTTCTTGGAGGAGAATGTAGGAAACAAATCCGAAACAAACCTTTAGTCCACAAGACAGAAAACTAACTTAGAAACTAACACAAATTTTTTAACTGGAATAGAAAAATCAAGAAGTTTTCAACTGGCAAATTGGAAATCTGAAACCGGCACGTAGCATTTTTAACCTGTCAAGCTTGTTTCTGAAGGAGGTTGGAGTTCGACAATAAAATCACTTGGCAATGGGGACTAAGTCCGTTACTTTATACGCACATGTACCGTCCCTTCTTTCTCTTGATGTGAGATTCATACTCCCAAATGCCCCGTCATGTGCATGTGATGATTTTTCAAGCCATATAAGTGGGCAACACAAATTTGGATAACATGGAGCACGTGCAGCCGTTGGGCTATACCTTTTTTTTTCTTTTTTCACAGTGATATTTATAATAAACCATAGTTTTGGGTATATTGTAGAAAACAAATGAAGATTGATGTTGAACTTGTAGTAATTTAGTCATGGTAAATTACAAAAATAAAGGAAATAATAGAACTCAACAACTCATGAGTATAATCAAACCATATATGAAACATATGTCAAGATAAACAAGGTGACCACTGACTTATGTTAATCATAATGACTCTTACAATTAACCACAAACTTATTAGTTAAACTCAAGAAAACATTATATAAGAAATGGTGTATAAGTACTGCAAAATTACAAACTGACCAAGACAATTGCTGGCATTGTAAACTAGGGAACTTCATTAGAGAGCTTCAATGGTACTAGGCTACCAGCATTGCTCCCACATTTGGTCTCCTTTAATACATTTCTATATCCTTTATTGCTTCTGCATTACCAAACCTTTCATGAAAATCATGAAGTAACAAAAAATGCATACTGTACATATCTGTAACGATGTTTGAAAC